GATAATCGTTTTCCACCATCGAAATGCATCGTACTCTGGGAATAGGCTGAATGAAGGGGAAAGGAGGTCCGCCTCGGGGTTCAAATCCAACAATGTATTTTGATCACTAAGAGTCATAGTGTGCTGGTTGTTGAATAGTTGAAAGGAAATTTGGAATTCGTTGTTACCATAAGGCTCTTTTTCAAATGAGGCCAAGAATTTTAAGGTGGGATCTTTATATGTTCGATATTGATGCTTGATGAACTCATTCATCCCTAAGTTGTCAAGGAGTGACCTTATGTCATCGTCATTTCCCAAAGATCTCATGGAGCGTTGATCATAGTGTCTCGTGGGATTTAGCTTTCGTCCTTGATGGTCATTGAAGAAGGTAGCATGGACCTTGTTCAAGAATTTCAGTCGAGGGGGAACATTCGGTCCTTGAGCTTGAGTTTGAGTACTAGGTTCCTCAACCCTTAACCGGGGCTCCTTTCTACTCTTCCTTTTGTTCATTATAGCCTCAAGCAATACAAACAACCAAACCAAAAGAGAACTCTCTTTGAACTCAACCAATAATTGAAACACAACAACAACAACCGAAGCCTTAACAATCTGCAAAAAGGTTAGTACCAAAAACTAACCACACAAATGTAGCTCCAAAAACAACTAGAATCAACAGCAAAGCACTTAATCACAATACATTATGATAATAAGCAATTTTCATGAAAATAGTTGCATTATCATCAATACTAACACAAAATTGCTCAACTCAATTCCATGAAATAGCTTTCAAATCAATAATGTTAACTGTTAGTTGAAACGAATACTACAAGGGGGGGGGGGTGAATTGTAGTTAAGTTCCTCATGACTACTTTTGCAAATTTAAAACAGAATATAAAGGGAACTTGATAGTGCACACACAGTTTTACGAGGAAACCTTCCAGAGCCCAAGTGGAAGTAAAACCTCGACCCTTCTAAGGGATTTCAAACACACAAGCAATCCACTATAATAGGGCAATGAAGAAATTACAAACCTATTATAATCCAGACCTTTAAACACAAGTTCCAACTAGAACTTGTAGCACGGTAAGACTCAATCCTACCCAACTCAAATCCCCTGACTTGAATTCACTCGTACTCTCACAGTACCAATGCACTCTTTTTACAAAAGAACTTCTACTGTATGTGATAATAAATCTCATACACTCTCACCCAAATACCCAATCAATTACAGTAAATAATATGTCTAGAATATGTTAGGCAAGCTATGCATAAAACCCGAAACTAATATGACAAGATAAAGCTTGGCAAACTTACACTTTGATAAAGCTCACAAGTTTTTTCTTCACGCATAAACTTACAAAAATCGAAAGCAGTTTTACCTCTACTATTTATACAAGTATAACTTGTATAGAAAGTAGGTTTTCAAAAGATAAAGATGTTAACTTTCCTTATCTCTAAATACGATTTTTGGTAAATTATTTTGTAAAAAAAAAATCTTTTCCGAAAAATACAAGAAGATATATATTAGAGAATAATATTGTTTTGCAACTGATTTTAGGAAAATAAATTAAAACAAAATCTTTTTTTTTCAAAATCTATCTTTTTATATTTTTCCAATTTTATCTTTTTGCCAAATTATCTTGTCACGTCTCTAATAGATTTCATGCATATCTTATTAACATATTTAACAATAAATCTAGAAGATAAAATCTTAACTAAATTAATATCTCAATGCCGCGCTTCTGTAATTCTGAATATCTTGGGCTTCACGCAGGCCAGGAACAAGTTCCTGCTGTCACTTGGTCTCCAGTTCACAACTAGAACTTCACAGACTAATAATTTGCTTGTGGAACTTACTGTCTTCAGCTTACAACCTTCAAGTTCCTGTTAGGGAACATTCCTGTTAAGGAATTTAGTTCTTGTTAGAGAACTCTTCTTCTATTGATTAACTCTTTAAAGATTCTTCAAGTCTTCATAATACAAGATGTTCTTCCTTCACCAAGGTCCATTTCTCCTGTACTTAAACACTTGTAAACCTTTAGTTGAGTTTGATTTAGTTTAAGTTCATCATCATCAAAACTTATAAGCTTTAACAATTTCCCCCTTTTTTATGACGACAAACTTAAGAAAACTCTTAACAAAATTTAAAACACATAGAAGGATGTATTCTTGCATTTTTGATTTTTTGACAGAAAGTAAACACACAAAAGCAAGAAACAAAAATAAAATGAGGAAAATAAAACACACAAAACAAAGAAAAACAGAACATGAAATAACTAAGCTACCAAAATAGAGAAGTTTTGATATTTTCTCAACTGGAACCCCGAACGACTGAAAACTTCAAGTTTGCTTCCTCTTTTCCCCCTTTTGGCATCATAAAAAAGTCCTTCTTTTTCAATATTATTAAACTTTTGACAACAGCCCCACAAGCAATTCATCGAGTGTGGGAAACTGAAGGCAGCGCTGCTAACTTACTTCCAATAAGTTCAACTTTTCTACATAAGCTTTCACAATATAACACACACATGGTTGCACCAAGTTCCAAAATGTTTCATTAAAGTCAAAAGAAACTTCCTGCTTAGTTTTCCAACATATTTCAATATAAAAAAAATTCTAAAACAGAAATTGAAATGTGACAAGTTCATGACTGAAACATAGAAAAACAAAAGTAAGGCTAGAAGTAGGCTAGACAAAATGGGATGGATGAGGCTGGTCTTGTTTAAGTTTCAAGGAGTTCAAGTATCTTCTTGTTGTCTTCAACATTCTGCTGCATATACTCCTCCAACTTATCTTGAAGACGCTTAAGGTCCTTCTGGAACTCCAACTTTTGTAGTTTGAGACTACTCTCAAGACCTTGGACCTTCTTCTCAAGATCTTGTATCTTCTCTGTGGCTGTCTTCAACTGCTTTTCTGCAATGTCAGCTCTGTCTATCAGTTCAGCCACTTGTCCTACAATGACTTTTTCCTCATCCTCATATATCTCAAGTGGTTTCTCCAAGCTAGTTTGAGGAGCCTTACCAGCTGAGATCCTCCTACTCTTCCTCACAACTTTTTCTGGAACTTCCTTCCCTTTTCTTTTTCCTCCCAATGCTTTCTTTACCTTACTTTTTCTAACCTTTCCATTTACTACCTTGAAGTGTTTCCCCATTAATCACATCTTCTGGTTTTTCCTCCAATCCCTCATAAACTCCTTTGAGCTTCACACCTAGACCCTCAAACACAGTAGACAACAATGCACCATATCCCACTTTGTTCTTTCGTGCAATACAGTGTGCTAGGTGTTGATACATTAGGGATGGAAAGTTGATTTTGATTTTCTTGGAGAGACAGAAGATGACAGCCAAATCCATTAAGCATGCTTGGCTTCTCTTCTGAGTTCTGGGCAATATGGTTTTTCTCACCAAATTGAACAATAGCTTATTAAGAGGGCTAAGATCATTGTGGCTTATAACATTCTTCCCCCTTTGTCCTCCCAAGAATTCAACTATATCACCACTGAGATAGTTTCCTACCATCACAATATTCTTCCCCTTCACATACAATTCAAATCCAGCAGTAGGTACTTTCAGAATTTTACCTAGTTTCTCAACATCAAACTCAATTTTCTTTTTATTTACAAAGCTAGAAATCTTCCCTTGTTTAACTTGAAATTTTGCACAAAATTCATCCATAGCCACGGGATATAGCACATTATTAGAAGCAGTAGATAACATATACTCCCACCCTTGAAATTTGATTAAATCGAAGAATTCTAAAAACCTAGCCTTCTTACACCATGTACTATCAAGTCTGTGACCAGTAACATACCTTCCCGCGCTTGCAAGAAGTTCCACTTGGTCATCATCTTCATCAACCTCTTCTTCCTCTTCCTCTACAGAGGCATCTGCTTCACTTTCTCCCTGATTCTCTTCTTCTTCCTGATTTTCCTCTTCGCCTTGATTTTCTCCTTTTTCGAACTCATCAACTTCCTCAATTTCCTTTTCAAGTGACTTTTATTTCTCTCTTTTATGTTTCCATTTACGCAATTTATCAAGTACACTTGAAGTACTGTACTCTTCTTCAACGTTCTCTCTCTCAACTTCCTTAGGGTTTGAGGATAAAGGTTCCGGGTTTTCAGAGGGTTTGGGAGAATTGGAGGTACTTTTGGTTGATTTTGGAGAAGGTTTATAATTCACCATTGATAAAGGTGAAGTTTCTTCTTGAATGGTGTGTTCGGTGTTTTGGGAATTTTCAGAAGAAACGATTTCTGCAATGATAACCATGGTGTTTGATTGTGATTTTGTTCTTGAGATTTTTACTGAAGAGGGTGAATGTGATTTGACAGTGGAGTGAAAAGGTGGGTGAAAGATGCTTTGTATATTTATTGAAGCGGTGCAAGGGAATTGAATGGTTTTACTGTTTAGTCATTAATTGTAACACATTCAATTAATTTGTAAAATCATTTGGCAGGATGTATTTTCAAAATTCACTTTCTTTCCAAATTCTATTAATTTCACAAATCACAATTTCTTTCTAAATATACACATATTGGAACACGATTTAAACACATATGCACAATATATTATTAATTGCTTACATAAATAAGTATTTTAGTGAACTTACCTTTAGTAATTAACAACGGTGACACTTCAGCTATGTTTGTCACACCAAAGTTGCGCCAAAAGCTCTTTAAACTTTATTTACACTATTTTTGAATCAGCCATATCTTGGAACTTCAGAAGCAATCAAGTTAGCTTGATCATCCCAAGTTCCAATCTCAATTTCTCAAATCTTTCTCTGTTCAAGGGTTTGGTTAGAATATCAGCAATTTGACTTTATGTTTGACAAAATTCTAACTTAATATTCCCTTGTTCCACATTGTCTTTTAAAAAGTGATTCCTAATGTGGATATGCTTTACCTTTGAGTGTTGAACTGGATCTTTAGAAATACAAATAGCACTGGTATTGTCACAGTAAATAGGGACACATTCAAAAATAATACCAAAATCTCTAACCTGTTGTTTTATCCATAGAACTTGTGATCAACATGCTGCTGCTGCCACATACTCAGCTTCAACTGTGGACAATGCAACAGTATTTTGCTTCTTGGAACCCCAAGAAACTAGACAAGGTCCTAAGAACTGAACCATACCTGAAGTACTTTTTCTGTTAACCAAGTCACCTACATAGTCAGCATCAGTAAAGCTATTTATTTCAAATGAGTCACTTCTAGGATAGAAGAGACTCAAGTCATCAGTTCTTTTTAAGTAACGAAGAATTCTCTTTACTGCTACGAGGTGAGATTCCTTTGGATTTGCTTGAAATCTGGCACATAGACCTACACTAAAAGATATGTCAGGTCTACTTGCTGTCAAATAAAGTAAAGAGCCAATCATACCTCTATACATAGTTTGGTCTATGCAAGTTCTAGTTGGATCTTCATCCAATCTAGTTCCAATACCCATAGGAGTCTTATTGGTTTTTGCATTTTCCATCTTGTATTTCTTGATCAGTTCCTTGATATATTTTTGTTGATGGATCATGATTCCTTCTTCAGTTTGCTTGATTTGCAATCCGAGAACGAAGTTTAACTCTCCTATCATACTCATTTCGAATTCTCCACTCATTAGTCAGCAAAATACTTACACAGAGATTCATTAGTTGCACCGAATAAGATATCATCAACATAAATTTGTACAATTAATATGTCAGTTCCATTTGATTTTAAAAACAATGTTTTATCAATTTTTCCCGTTTAAAACCATTTTTCAATAGGAACTTTGACAGTCTTTCATACCATGCTCTAGGAGCTTGCTTCAGCCCATAAAGAGCTTTGTCAAGCTTGTAGACATGGTTTGGGAATTCTGGATTTTCAAATCCAGGAGGCTGTTCAACATAGACTTCTTCATCAAGATATCCATTCAAAAATGCACATTTAACATCCATTTGGTACAGCCTAAATCCCATAAGCAGCAAATGCAATAAGTAGGCGTATAGGTTCTAACCTGGCTACAGGAGCAAATGTTTCTTCATAGTCAATACCTTCTTGTTGATTGAAACCGTGTACTACAAGCCTATCTTTGTTCCTGACAATAATACCATGCTCATCTAGCTTGTTCCTAAACACCCATTTTAAACCAATTGTCTTCTTTTTCTTAGGTCTAGGTTCTAGATGCCATACTTTGTTTCTTTCAAACTCGTAAAGTTCGACTTGTATAGCATTAATCCAGTCTGTATCAGTCAAAGCTTCAACATGGTTTTTAGGTTCCATTGAAGATAGGAACGCATAAAATGCACAGAAGTTCCTAAGCTGAGATCTGGTTTGAGTTCCTTTTGTGATATCACTCATGATTTCATCAACTGGATGAGATTTTTGATGTTTCTAAGGCTTTGGAGTAAAGTCTTTAATTGGATACAATCTTTCTTCATTGTTGGTGACTGGTTTCACTGTTGGAACTTCATCTAGATTTTCAGTTTGAAATTCTTCCGGAACTTCTTGATCAGCTTCGTTCTGTTCTGGAACTTGAGGAGTTCCTGTTGCATTCTCTAATGTAGGATCTTTATTAGCTTCTGTATTTGCCTCATTTTCTTCCAGCTGCTTTTGTAATGATGTTGACTCTTCATCTTGTTCCATCTTGCGAACAAGTCCTATTTCAAAGTCATCATCACTTTCCTGTACATCAATCAATTGTTCAGTTTCATCAAATATAATATGTACAGATTCCTCAACATACATCGTTCTCTTATTATAAACCCTATAAGATTTACTATTTGAGGCATATCCTAAGAAAACAACTTCATCACTTCTTTCATCAAACTTTCCTAAGTTTCTTTTACCATTATTATGAACGAAGCATTTATAACCAAAAGATCTGAGGTGAGAGATATTAGCTTTTCTCCCTTTGATTAGCTCATAGGGAGTTTTGTTGGTGATGGCTCTAACAGATACTCTGTTGAGAATATAACATGCTGTATTAAATGCTTCTGCCCAAAAGTTTCTTCGCACACCACTTGAGATTAGCATTGTTCTAGCCATGTCTTCAAGACTTCTATTCTTGCGTTCCACCACTCCATTTTGTTGTGGAGTTCTTGGTGCCGAAAATTTGTGATCCATACCATGCTCAGTACATAATTCATCAAATTTAGAATTTTTAAATTCTGTGCCATGATCTGACCTAAGGTGAATCAATGGATTACCTGTTCTTCTCTGTTCTTTCTTTACAAATGCTACAAATTCATAAAATGTTTCATCTTTGCTAACAAGAAAGAAAACCCAAGTAAATCTTGAAAAATCATCAACAATTACCATTACATATCTCTTACCACTTCTACTTTGGATTATCATAGGACCACATAGATCCATAAGAACAAGTTCCAAAGGTCTTTTGGTGCTTACCATTTTCTTGGATTTAAAGGAACTTCGACTCTGTTTTCCTCTAACACAAGCATCACACACTTTGTCATATAGGAACTTGATGCAAGGGAGACCTTCCACAAGTTCTTTAGCTCTAAGTTTATCAAGTAATGTAAAGCTTGCATGACCAAATATTTTATGCCATAATAAAGGATCATTCTCAATAACACTGAGACATGTTAGACTGCTTTTAGGAACTTCGTTAAGATCCACAACATATGTGTTCCCTTTACGAGTTCATTCTAAAATAATGTTACCAGTGTCATTATGAATGATTCTACTTTTATTTGAAGTAAAACTTACTGAGTTTCCTTTGTCACAAAATTGTGAAATGCTCAACAAGTTGTGTTTGAGACACTCGACCAAAAATAAATTATCAATAGCATGGGAACTTGACCTTCCTACTTTGCCAATGGCAATTATATCTCCTTTCATATTGTCACCAAAGGTCACAGTTCCTCCATAGTAGGCATCCAGTGAGAGAAATCTAGATTTGTCTCCAGTCATGTGCTTCGAACAACCACTGTCGAGGTACCAAGTGTTGTTCCTCCTCACTGGAACCTGCATGAGAATTAAGCATTAGTATCAGGAACCCAGGTTTCCTTGGGTTCCTGTGTAATAGGAGTGGGATTATTTTTCATAACCCAAATTTTCTCAACATCATTTTTATTTTTCTGTGTACTACTTTTTCTCTTTAAACAATTCATCTGCTTATTTTCCACAGAAATGACAAACAATACTACTAGGCAAATTAACATACTTCTTTTCCTTTTGGAACTTCTTCTTGAAACCTAGTCCTTCTGTTCTTTTGGTCTGTGCATTAATAATCTAATTAGGAACTATGCACTCAATAGGTTTCTTACCTTTATTAGCCTTCTCAAGTTCCCCCTCAAGTCTGGCTTTCTCCATTCTAATTTCCCCTAAATCCGATTTCAATTTCTCAAAATTGGTGATTTGAGTTAGAGAAGGAACTTCAGAATTAGGTGAGTCTATTCCTGATCTTAACAAAGAAAGTTCAACATTCAAGAGTATGTTATCATGTTTTAAGTTTTCTAAGGTCTTCTTCAGAATACGATTATCATCAAAAAGACTAAAGAATCTATATTGAATGTCAAATTTCATGTTATCAGCCCACTCACTATTTTCTTGATAAGTGATTAACGCTTTATCACTTTGCTGTTTGGCTCTATGCAATTCTTTAATATCTTCTTGAATTTCCAGAACAACATATATTAGATTCTTTTTAGAGAAATGTTCTAGATCCCTTTCAGAATACCATACCTCAGCTTCAAGTTCCTTCAGCTTAGCCTTTTCATCTATTTTTTCCATTAGGCACAGATGGGCTGTTTCTTCAAGAGGTCGATCTTCTTCGTCTTCTGTATCAGTATCTCCCCAGGTGACTAGCATTGCTTTCTTCACATTGTCTTTGTTGAAGTAAGGCTTATACACTCTGGATTCCTTAGATTGCTCCTTAGGTTTGTTCTTACCATCCTTGAGTGGACAATCCTTAATGAAGTGATCTTTTGCTCCACATTTGAAACAAGTAGTGTCTCTAGAACCAGTAGGCTTCTTGTTTATGTCAAACCTTCTATTATTCATCATCTTTTTGAAGCGTTTGACTAGCATAGCCATATCCTCTTCATCAACTTCAGATTCCTCTGAATCTAGAGCCTTTAGAGCAAGACTCTTGTTTTTGGAACTTTCGTTATTGGAACTTAGATGCAATTCATGAGTCATAAGTGATCCAGCTAGTTGTTCCATATTGAACTTGGTGAAGTCCTTAGCTTCCTGCATGGCAGTAACTTTGGATCTCCAACGTTCATCCTGTGGAAGACTTCTCAAAATCTTTCTAGCCTGTTCATCAATAGGAATTTGCCTGCCAAGAGAGTTTAGTTCATTAATTATGTCATTAAATCTAGTAAACATTTCTTCTATAGTTTGTTTAGACTGCATTTCAAACCTTTCATATCTAGACATCAGTAAATCAATTTTAGAACGTTTTACCTCGTTTGTTCCTTCATGAGTGACCTCGAGTAGATCCCAAATCTATTTAGCAGTCTTGCACCCCATGATACAATTATGCTCATGAGGTCCAAGACCACAATGTAAATACTTTATTGCTAAAGCATTCATTTCGAGTTTCTGATAGTCTTCTTTGTCATAATCAGAAATAAGTTTGGCAAACTTACACTTTGATAAAGCTATGCATAAAACCCGAAACTAATATGACAAGATAAAGCTTGGCAAACTTACAATTTGATAAAGCTCACAAGTTTTTTCTTCATGCATAAACTTACAAAAATCGAAAGCAGTTTTACCTCTACTATTTATACAAGTATAACTTGTATAGAAAGTAGGTTTTCAAAAGATTAAGATGTTAACTTTCCTTATCTCTAAATACGATTTTTGGTAAATCATTTTTTTAAAAAAAAAAAATCTTTTTCCGAAAAATACAAGAAGATATATATTAGAGAATAATATCGTTTTGCAACTGATTTTAGGAAAATAAATTAAAACAAAATCTTTTTTTTCAAAATCTATCTTTTTATATTTTTGCATTTTTATCTTTTTGCCAAATTATCTTGTCACGTCTCTAATAGATTTCATGCATATCTTATTAACATATTTAACAACAAATCTAGAAGATAAAATCTTAACTAAATTAATATCTTAATGCCGCGCTTCTGTAATTCTGAATATCTTGGGCTTCACGCAGGCCAGGAACAAGTTCCTGCTGTCACTTGGTCTCTAGTTCACAACTGGAACTTCGTAGACTAAGTTCCTTGTGGAACTTACTGTCTTTAGCTTACAACCTTCAAGTTCCTGTTAGGGAACATTCCTGTTAAGGAATTTAGTTCTTGTTAGAGAACTCTTCTTCTATAGATTAACTCTTTAAAGATTCTTCAAGTCTTCATAATACAAGATGTTCTTCCTTCACCAAGGTCCATTTCTCCTGTACTTAAACACTTTTAAACCTTTAGTTGAGTTTGATTTAGTTGAATTTCATCATCATCAAAACTTTTAAGCTTCAACATTAACAACAATGTTCCAAAATCACTAAATATCACACTAAAAACCAACAAATCCTTAGCAAAGAAAATCAAAATCACTTGAAACTCATGCAAGCTAAACCATGCTTAATAACTAAAAATTTTGCATACACAAGTGAAAATAAGCAATAAGATAGAAAAATTT